GAAATTTCACGAAGAAACATTAACTACTTGAAAGATATGTGATATTAATAGCAAAGCTAAATAACCGCAAAAATATTTACTTTCTTTTCTTTTCGTGAAATGTGCCGCTAATTGGACTATATAGCTAGAATAACAATGTGTTTGCACAAATATTAGTTTTTTTTTTTTTTTTTTTTTTTTTTTTTTTTTTAAAGGTGGGGACAAAAAAACACGAAATAGTTTTATTTTCACTGGGATTCAAATCATGAATTTCCTGAATTTTCCAAGGTCCAGTTGGACGTATTTCTTTTGACATCACAAGAGGGCACACATGAAGTAATTCTACATCTCTCTATATCTATTTAAGATATGTATTTAACCACTGAAATAATATGTCTAAGAAAGTGTTCTAGTTAAAACTGGTACGTGTTGAAGCATTTCAAAATAAAATGTGTCGGAATATAACATTTTATTTTAATTAATCAGATGCAGATTTATTTCGAAATAGCCACACATTGAAAAGAATACTAAACAGGAAATCTTCTGCACTTAATATCCATTCGTATAATGGATAGAATATTAAGTAGTACATTAAAATATGTATTTGATATAATTTTAAACTATTTTGAAAATATAAATTACTATGCAAACAATAATGGGATACCGTGCTCCATAAAGTAGAGGCTCTGACGCTTGACAAACTCTTTTGCTAATAATTAGTTAACTTTCAAGAGTTACAGAAATGTTATTGCCATCGAAGTGATGTATATACATTAATTGGATACGCAAGCAGCTACAATAATTAAAATATTTGTTGATAACTAATAACCTATCAGTTATGCAAAGCTAAAATAATTAACAATTAGTACTTTAGTAGTTTGAATATTAGCACCTTCGTTATATAAGTAATATTCCTTTCCTGAAAGGCTTTGCTCTATCAGCTGGCTGTTATATTTTAGCTCCAGCGGGAAAACTTTTAATGGATGCTAGTCTGTATTTGATTTAAATTTTAACATGGAATCAGCCCTAACCTCATCGAAGACAATTCTGTAATTTTTAATCCTTTTATTTCCAACTGAGCAAATGAATCGTCGGACGACTAAGAGTCCAATAGGCGTATTCATGCTTACTGGCCGAATAAATCAGCCTTACAAAGCTCAATAAATTTTTGCCACAATGCTCCTGACGTGAGCACTATGAAGTGAACATCCCAAAGGGAGAGCAGGAGTAGGTGGAAGGGAGGGGAGACCAGTATCTCGTGAACAAATCCAAAGAAATTATGAAAGAATGCACGCTTCCCGGGAATCCAAAACGTGGAAGAAATCATAAAATCAAATCAAATAGAAAATGCAGAGTAAGCAGTCAAATGAACGAAAGAAATCAACACTATAAATCAAAGAGACTTCATAAGGAAAAGTATATATGTATATATATATATATATATAATTTAAAGTTAAGTAGTAAGAACAAACGAAAAAAAGACCTATGTAGTGAAAAAGTTTGCGCATTGTGCTGCAAAATTAAGGAAATTAGAAGATAAATTTTAGTACGCACGCTAAAAAGTTACCAAAAACTGTGGCTCCGTGAAAACTTCAACATAAGCATATTTAGTTGCTATGAAATGTGTGAAAAAGGAGAAATATACAACATTTGAATATTTACAAGTCAAATTCATAAAAAATAGTAAGCTATATGCTAAACGAAGTAAGTAGATTTAAAACACAGTAAAATACTAATTAATTAATCGAGGTAAAAATACAAAATAAAAATTAAAATTAAAAAATTAAAATTAAAATTAAGAAGCGGTAAATGGTTAATTAGCCCACTTCGAAGTTCATTTTGGCTCGTCAGGGGAACTTTTTAAAAATAAATTCGAACTAAGCTAACTCCATCACACGTTTCGCCGAAACAGACAACTGAAACTAGCGCATCTTTCGCGTAACTCAGGCCACACATTGGCGCAAAGTCGCCTTTCGACAGAGCAAAAGGTTCCGAATATGATATATTTAAGTGTCATTATTTCTAACGCGCATGCTTAACAATAACTGATATCTGTATTTCATATCTGAAGGGAGAATTTATTCGTTTAATTACTACCAAACTCTAGTCTAGGAAAATTTATAAGGTATTTTCTCACTCCTTTCCGCATGCCTCCGTGGTGTAATTTGAAGCATACTGCTTACGTACTCGAGAGGGACTCAAGTACTTTACAAATGGTACAACGCTAATGACTCTGCAAGTGGCGCCCCAAACTAATAGGTGGTTGATGATAATTCGTCACCACCAATATTTGGCGACTGCATTTAGTAATCCCCAGTCTTCCTTTCAAAGGGGAATTATATAAGGTATTTTCTCCCTAGTTTCAGCATGCCTTCGCGGCGTAACTGGAAGCACACTCGACGCGTATTCGGGAGGTCCAGTGTTCGAGGGCATTGAACATATTTTATGTCTCTTAAAATAACCTAATGACTCTACACATTAAATTTAAATCTAAGAAGTATTTGTTTACGGTTATATCCCAGAAATACTTATTCAGAGTTAATTTTGACTCTTAAAAACTCTGCTGCGCAAAATAACTGAGCATTAATTACCGGTTATAAACCGGTAATCTCTTAGTTAGGATCTTCTATTCCTTTGCGTTAGTTTACTACGTATAACAGCACAGCAAGTTATATTTACGTGATTCACAAAAAAAGAACTGAAGGAAATGACAACTTGAACTGGTAGTCTTTCAACATCATCATATATGTCCTGCTGGTTACGTATTTTTCTTTAAAGCATACTCCCATCCTCCCCAAAAGGGCTGAATTCCCAAATAATTGAATTCTCAGTTTTCTTATATAAGATATTAAGATAATCCAGCCTTACGCTGTTGCAGTGACACAAGCACTTCGATCTAGTTACTTGCCGGTTTTCACTTTAAGTAACGATAAGACTGATTTTTCTTATGATTGCTTGCTTCAATATAGCTGTCGTACATTTATAATAAGAAACGTAACTGATATTTAATACAATAGCTTGAATGAAGAAAATAATAGCTGCAATTCTTCCTCGGCGATGCAGACATTTGAATTTACTTGCACACTGCCATCGTAATAAACATCATAACTTCTTTCGCAACTGAAATATCTAACAAAAGTACAGACATAAACGCACACAGGAGATTATTTAGGCCACTTGTTAGATAAACTGTCTACAAGACAGTTGCCGTTACTGTATAAGGCATTTACTGCTAATATAATCTGTCGTAACTAATTTGCCTGGGTATATGTTTATTAATGTATCAGTGATCAAGTGGATAACACCGTTGCTAGTTTTCACCTAAGTTCAAACACAAGCAAATGCGCTAGCTACATGGGGCTTTCGTGGTTTGTTCGTGTTTAAGAGACGTGTTTATTAGTCAATTTTCTTCAGGAAATCATCCACGAAAGCTGCCTCCCCTTAAGCAGACAGCAGATAGTAATGTGCCATAATCTCCAATAAATCCAACACTGTTGGCCTATTCGCTGGCCATTTCGATCTTGTTTTACTGAATAAGTTTATTCCAATATAGTAAACATACAATATAGCGACTAATAGCATAGTATTTATTAATTTACAACAGCTCTTGCATGGTTGAATGGACATCCTTCGGCTCTCGAAATTAGCTCCTTTTACCAAATAGTGATTCTAAAGAAGATTACCATGATTCAATCGAACATTTCACTCGAATTGTTGAGCCTTAGATCTTCAGCAGACAAGAGTTTTAAAACTTTCTGAACGATCAGCGTCCTGTGGATTGCCCAATTTCAATTATTCAAAGAACAATCCTAAGGGCAATAAACTATGCATTTGTGATAGTCTGAATCTTGAGTAAGCTCGAAAATTGGAATAAATGATTTGAGGATTTGAGTTAGTCGATTTTGATGTAGCTTGAGTAATAGTTTCTCCTACTAAACAATTAGGAGCAAAAATATTTCTTAAATTATAATAGTAAAATTAACTTTCTAAAGAAATATACAGAAAATAATATCTTTTGAAACAGTTAACATCCAGAGAATTTAAAAATATAGAACAACTAAGATGCAAGATTTCTTTCTTGGGATTCATATGGAGACTATGTGACACGAAGTAGAAACCTTATTTAAATCTATTACAATCCACTAAAGCATTTAAATCTCATAATTTATTTGGATAGAGACATATTTCCATTCTAGTAGATTAACCTGCAAAGCAGTTGAACAGAGGTGCAGTAAACATATGCGCTTAAGATAACATGCATGAGCCGCAATGTCAGTGAACGATAACGAAAGTCACAGAATTAAGATTAATTTAGTATGACTGTTTCATTCAACATTTGAAACAAGAATACATTTGACAAATCTTTGAGCTATATTTTCAAAAGCATTTAGTGGGTATAAATTATTTCGATCATTAAGAACTTCTTAAATTAATATACATGATTCTGTAGTCCATTTTTCAGAACTGAACAGTTGTATTTTTATCACAAAAGCAAAATTTTAAATCTAAACTCTAAGGCTGAAACATTGATTATATATCTGTTAATTATTAAACAACTTTTGTAAAGCGAAAGGTATATTATATCTTAACAAAAATTTAACTGTGGTAAACTGATTTTTAACAAACGTTTTGTAGATGCCAAAATCAGTTTCCGTTCATCAACAGATTAAAATGAAACAGAAAACGATCAAAATATTTCCAAAATCTATGAAAATATTTTTTTTAACAAAGAACTGTCATCGCATTCCAATGAAAGATCTGTTGCACATATGTTTCCATTCATGAATTTTTTTAAGAAACATATTAACATACTATCCGTTTTTCCGCATTTAAGACTTTTTATAACAGAAAACGTAATTTCGAAAGAAAATAAAAGATTTTTATTTACCAGAAAGTATATTAGTTTCTTTTCTTAATATGTAATATGAATGACTGAATATCTTAAAGTAAACATATAGTATAAAACATTTTCATATAAAATGTAAAATTTACAGTTCAGCACAGTTGAAATTTTAACTTACCACAGAACATATGCATTTGCGCTGCAGCCAGTGCCATAATTGTAGCTCCTACAAATATCACAAATCTCCAGTGTTCCATAGCAAGTTCGATGATTCTACGTCGAAGAAGAAAAACTCCGACTGAGGAAAGTTTATTCTGACACGCAGAGTTTGCCCCGTGGTAAGATGTTAAAAGTAGGTTAGTAACGAAAAGCGAGTTAAATGGAACATATTGTCCCGCCTTTTGGGTTTCTCCAAACGACTTTCACCGATGAACTGGCTTTGTTGAAAGTGAATACAAGGTCATCTTTTTCATCTTTAAATAGCTTTTAAATAATATAGAAGATAATTATTTTCATAATATATAATATCTAACGTAGTTTTGAATGGCCAGAACTTTGCGGAAGTAGAGTGTGATACAAAAAATATTCTTTTAATTTTCCTTGTTGAAAAAAAAAAAAAAAAATTTTAAAGTCACATTTTAAAATGTTAAAATGTAATTGGAAACTTTCTAATTCTTTTTTTGTTTTGTTTTGTTTTTCTGAACAACATAAGGGATATAATTTAAGAGCAGCTGAAGTTTAATGTCTTCCTGCAGGTGATATACACTTACGTATTATTGAAATAATAATACATTTAGAAATGATTGAATTTAGGCTTTAGGATACATTTCGTACAATTTCATAAAACTTATGGAGTATGCTTATGAATTTCAGTATTTGTTAAATAACATAAATTTTAAGGAATGCACCATACTTGTGTAACTATTTGGTTCTCCTATTATTATGATTTCTGTGTTCTATGACAGTTTACCTGTTGCAGTAATGATAATAGTAGTAAATACTATTGAAATTTTTATAAACAAACATTCCCGTTTCAGTGACTGAAATTTGCTTTTCTCTTATGTAATAGAATTAAAAATCTTCCTTTTACTAAAATAGTCATTCGTTTAAAATATTTACATACAAAATTTGTCGGGCAGTTCTATTTGAAACGTAAAAAATTACCGCATGGCCATCTTCGAAGAAACACCGATACGCACAGTTGCTCCAGTACTCCGAATATTCCTATAAATATCAGTATAATCCCTCTTTTTGGACCAGTTGTGTTGTTTGTATAGCTTAAATTTCCAGAAAACGTTGACTCTGTAAAGCCATCTTGGTAAGAGAAAAACAAAGGAGTTGAAAGCTGAGAAAGCTGGCGAATAAGAAAGTTCAAGAATGACAGGGATACTCAAAATACGGTATCATGCTGAACTGTCGAAGGATACCTTTAACCCGATTATACTACAGTATAAATTACATTCCGAATGATTACCTTTCACACAATTCTTTCATTCTGAGAATGATCCAATAGCCAAATTAATTATTATAAGTTTCATATAGGCAACATACTTATTCGCAAATTTTAATAACAGAGTAAAATTTCGACCTGTAGAGAATATAAACCAACGAATTATATCTGCAAAGTTATTCAGCGGCGTTCTGAAATTATATTACATTTTGAATTCTAAAATATTTTGCTCAATACTGATCAAACTACGATAATTTAAATGCGATTGTAATCGACGACATTCACTTTTTGAAATGCCGAAATGCAGAAGGATGACAATCCGAAACCAGTTCCGCAAAAGTAAAATCTTTGTAATAACAGTTTGCTGAATTTCTCTCAGTGGATGGTGATTTGCAAGTTATCCAAATCATAAAAATTTTTTGGTTAATCTTCGGATTATGGTAACTTGGCGATTATTTGGCGACCAACCCTGCTACAGCAACCTGCTAGTTTTTTTTTTTTTTTTTTTTTTTTTTTTTTTTTGGACGCTATTTTGTTTTCACGAAGTAAAGGCCCCCTTTTTTTTTAACTCAACATTTTTTTTTCAACAATTTGCTAGCCGAATTACGCTTATGCTAGAACTTTTATAGAACAAAAGTGCTTAATCATGACGAAGATTAGGTGCGAAATTGGGAGAAAGTGCAGAATCGTCCACTGCTTGCCGCGTTTTTAAGAATTGCACATACACGGTATCCATGTACACGTCGACCTATTATCACTTAAAAAAACATCCCAGAATTGCACAAAAATGGCATTGCGCACACTCTTGACTTTATCCATGTACACTGCTAAAGTCCTAGCTAGTAACCTTTATCGCCTTACCAAAATGTCGCCAAACTACCTGTTACCATATTCCAACGATTAGCCAAATTTTTAAAAACACTCAATTTTCCAAATATTTTAAATGCATCTTTTTGACTTCTTAAGGTGGAGTTACAAGCATTTTCCATTAATAAGAATGCTAGTTCATACATTACATTTAATATTTTTGGAAATCTGAGCAATATCAAAATGTTCCTGGTTTTTTTTTTTTTTTTTTTTTTTTTTTTTTTTTTTTTTTTTTTTCCATATCACTCGTTCTATTTATTTTGGCAGTAAAAAGACAAAGCAGTTCTTATATTAAACTACTAGCCATTAAATTTTATGTCATGAAAGAAACAGTTTGCAGAATCATATGGGTTTTACAAATGCCTTATAATGAAAGAAAGACATAATTAAAATTTCAGGTAGTTTTGAAATATAGAACATGCAGAAATCATTATTCCGAGCAAGCATCTTTAGCGACAATGACAGTTATTATACGACTGGTCATGGAGTCGAACAGGCTTTGGATGGCAGTTACGAGTATTGAAGACCATGCAACTTCAGGTCTATAGTACAGTTTCTCTATAGTATTGAATGAATTGTGTTGAAGAGGCAATCTTTGAAGCCGCTGAATAAGCATTTTCATTTTCTTAGAGATATACTTTTAAATTATTTATTAAACGTGTGAAATTCTCTTGTTTCCGGTAGGCTGCGGTTCTCCCACACTAAATTCTGAATCGTGCAATCACGAGTTCTTCAGAGACGAGGCATAACACATTAAATCCCCCCCCCGCAAATGGAAAACGAGTAAAAGTTAGTTCCAAATGAAAAATCAACATTTCAATCCATCCTTTAACACAGCTTCGAAGTGTTATTATTCGTCATTATAATGCGCAATGCAATGAAATGCTTATCATTTGTATATCTCAGCACGCTCTACATTTCATGCAAATTTCAAGTTTGTTGTATGCCTCCTTTACATTGTAGAAGTTCTAATGACGGTGTTTTTATCGTTCCCTTTTCTTCAGCATTCTTTCGTTAAGTACAAGCGGTATCAAACTTCTGAAACCCTCACGACACGATAATAATTTTAGAAACAGAATAAAAAACGATAGAAGCTGATTCATTTGCTGTTTAACACGTTCTAGCGAAGAAATCGCCATAGCCAACTTACGGAGTGTGATCTTCTATTACTATGAAACTATGGATAAGAAATTAAAAATATTTAAGAACATCATCTATGCATAAACCATGTGATTGCATGCCATTGAAGTAGTAAGTGCAGGTAACGGGGAGCCCAAAGGATGCCACCATGAAGTAATAGAACAATAGATGACGTAAGAGAACAATAGGTAACGTAACAGGGGGTGCGTCTTTGATGTGGCGCCTCCACCATCTTGGATCACGTGACAGCCGGAAGTGACGTTGACAGATGGGATGACGTTGATGGAATGACATCATCAAAGTTTCGTTTTTATTCTGTGGCAACAATTTTATATTTTCAAAGTTTTTATTTTTTGTGGCAACGAGCTCTTGAACCACGTGTTTGGCATGCTATCCGTTTGATTTTATTATTTTTAATTATTTAACACTTGATTAATTATTTAATACGTCATTAATTTTAACTTTTTAAATATTAACTATTATTTTTAACTACATCATTATTAACATCATTATTTTAGTTATTACCTTGCATTAATTTTTATTGAATTTAATATCATTTTCCCTGAAATTTAAAAAATAGCTCCACAAGCGAGATTCGAACCCGCCATCTCTGAGATGAAAGACCTGAACGTTACTACGCGGCTACCCGGTCGTCTTATCAGACTTGTTATTTGAAACTCTTTGTCCCTTTGACTTATTTGCACCTTTGATGTCATGAGGCTGATAGTCTGCGCATGCGCTTTGACATGAAAACTGCATCACACATTTGTTTTTACACGACGGCTAGGATTTCTTTTGGTTTCTTAATCATTACTTTCATTACTTTATTCATTGCTGTTTTAAATGTAAGATTTTCCCACAGTTTAATTTTTTTATTATTAAGATATTTTTAATTGTTTTCACTTTTCATCTCATTCTTATTATTTTTTAAGTTATAAGTTAATTTATTAATTTTTGATTTAAGATGTTTTTCCTTTCCAAAGCATAAATTTTATTTTTAACTTTCGCAAATTGACGTTTATTTCTACAAAAGTGAATTTACATTTTCTTTTTACTTTGCAAAAGTTTTTTTTTTTTTTTCAACACACAGCGGCTGATACTATTAAAAAAATTCTGGCTCGGGCATACTAAAGAAACCAAACAATTTCCCATTATAATGTAACCGTAAAATGGGCGACTTATTTCCCAGTCTCTCCCCTTCTAAAGTGGAAAACCCACAAATTCAGATGACTTTTTTAAAAAAATATTTTGATTTACTCATTAGTCTGACAGTTAACGTAAAAATTTAAAAATAAATTTTAAAAAGCGCACACAACCACCGGAATTCGTGATATCTGTACGTACGACAGAATAAAAGGGCTCTTTTTCCCAAAACGGATTGAAAATGAGTTTTAAAAGGATTTTTTTTCGTGACATCTGTATATACGTATGTAAACGCAACTTTACATACGTATTATAGTTGAAAGCTGAGAAAGCTGGCGAATAAGAAAATTCAAGAATGACAGGGATACTCAAAATACGGTATCATGCTGAACTGTCGAAGGATACCTTTAACCCGTTATACTACAGTATAAATTACATTCCGAATGATTACCTTTCACACAATTCTTTCATTCTGAGAATGATCCAATAGCCAAATTAATTATTATAAGTTTCATATAGGCAACATACTTATTCGCAAATTTTAATAACAGAGTAAAATTTCGACCTGTAGAGAATATAAACCAACGAATTATATCTGCAAAGTTATTCAGCGGCGTTCTGAAATTATATTACATTTTGAATTCTAAAATATTTTGCTCAATACTGATCATGAATTTACATTTTCTTTTTACTTTGCAAAAGTTTTTTTTTTTTTTTTTTTTTTTTTTTTTTTCAAATTTATTCCTTTTC